GATCTGAGATCAAAGTCTCGGTCCTTCCCCTAAAAGTTCATTGGCCAAAACCCTTTTCTTTTTGGTACTTTCCAAATCAAGAACAACAAGACAAAAGCATGCAAGCCTCAAAACGAAAAAAGGTATAGACTTTACCTTTTGTTACTTTCGAAAATCTTGAAAAGTGTTTCGGTTTCAATCCGATGTTGCTCGTATTTTTTGTGTAATTTGTGTTTGTATTTCGTATCATCTCTGTGTTACAAATAGATGATTACATGAATTTTATAGCCTCAAATTTGGCTATTTTTAAAGTCCAATTTGGACTCAACTACTCTTATTTCTAACGTTTTATTCATATTAGAACATTATTTTCTAATGGGTTTGTGGTTTATTGCCGAGAATCCCATGAGGCGTGCTATTGTGGGAGTCTTCAGGGGAGCGTGCAACGCGACTGGAACAAAGGATGAGAACTAGGGTTCCCAAACCCTAGTTCACCGATTAGGGTTGCAGATGGTTCCGACAGAGACACAAGTGGACCGGTTCGGGCACTTCACTTTGGGTCACGTGGGTAGCCTGCGTGTTTGGATCTTGTTGGGTGTGTGAGGTGTGAAACTTGGGCCACTGTTGGGCTATTTTATTTGAGCCTGAAACATGTAAAATAATAGATTAATGATATGTAATATATGCTTATTATAATATATATACATAAATATTATAAATGCAACGCATATATATTTGGATGAAATGGAGTGTCTACAGCTGCTCCTCTTTGCTCATTATCGTGTAACGAAAATAGAGCAAAGATTAATAGACACAAATTTCATCCATATCAGATTTCCTCTGTCGTAGAGTTGAAATCCGATATTGAAACTGGTTTGTTAATTTAAATCACGAAATGACTCCCTCGTCGTGAGGTTGAGTCGAAACTGAAAAATTCTGAGCACGATATCTTCCGTTGTGAAGTTGAAATCGAACTCAAAGCTTTGGCCAGTAGCTCCTGGATTGTCTTCTGGCTCAAGATACTTCGTAATGAAGGCGAAACCATGGATTCTTTGCTGAAATCTTCTACTTCAATATGGAATTGTGTAATGAAACCTCTGCTAACTTTGGAATTCTGTTCAAATATTCAACATCTTGATGAAAATGAATAAGAAATCTATTTTAAGAAAAGCTCTCTCGAGTGAGATAAAATTTCTTGTTTCAAGGGAAAATTGTCTCAAGCGAGAAGAAATTTGTTTCAAGTGAAACAATCTCAAAGGTTGGTGTTTCAAGAGAAACTATCTCAAAGGTTGGTGTTTCAAGAGAAACTGTGTCAAGAGAGACAAAACATGTTTCAAGGGAAACAATATCAAATGCGGGTGTTTCAAGGGAAATTGTCTCAAAACTCGTTTCAAGGGGAATTGATTCAAATATTTTGTGTTTCAAGGGAAACGTTTTTAAAGTTTATGTTTCAAGAGAAACTGTCTGAAGGGAGACAAAATTTGTTTCAAGGGAAACTATCTCAAGAGAGACAAAATTCATTTCAATGGAAATGTTTTCAATGTTTATGTTTCAAGAGAAACTGTCTCAAGGGAGACAAAATTTTGTTTTAAGGGAAACTATCTCAAGCGAGATAAAATCTTTTGTCTCGAGGGAAACTATCTCAAGCATGAGAAAATCTTCTGTTTCGAGGGAAACTATCTCAAGTGATATAAAATCTTCTTTAAAAACAGTCTTCTTTTCGAGTGAAATCGGTCTTAAGCGAGACAAATCTTGTTTTAAGAAAAACAATCTTAAGTGAAATAAATCTTATTTCGGGTAAAACAGTCCCAAGTGAGACAAAGTCTGTTTTAAGAAAATCAATCTCAAGTGAGATAAATCATCTGCATTACATGAGACTGTCTCAAGCGAGACAAAATTTATAATAGAAATGTTGAATCTGAAGATGACTGTTTCCTCTTGATCAGGATGTCTTGTTGTCTTTTAATCTCATCTTCTCCTGAAAGATCTGTAAAATGTATCTGGATGTAACTATCCTGATGATGGATGTTTGATGTATGCCAAGATGAAATTTATTTGATGTTTTATTGAATTTGTCCTCAAGAGAGGAAAAACCAAGGTCTTTATTGCACATGATGATGAATGGAAATATGCAAATTTCATGCGTCATGTATGTACGTGTTGATGTATATGTTGATATGTGAGGGGAATGGTTGAGTTAGCTGGGTTTATTCTATCCCTGACTCAGTTTGTTTTATTGCAAACCTCAACTTGAGACAATTTATTTTCCTTGATCCAACAAATTTTGCCCCACAAATTTGGCTTCTCTTGCCCCAACTTCAATCTTGAGCTTCGGAGAGATATTCGTTGATTTTCAAGATATGCTTCCAGGGAACTTTTATTGTTTGAAAATGTTTTCTTTCTTCTTATTTTCAAAATTTTGAAAATTATCGAAAGAAATTTTTGAAAATGTTACTTCTTTCTAGGTTTCACAATTGAAGCAAATCATAAAACATGAGTTCATTGGATATCAAAAGAATCAAATGCTCTTTTAATCTTTGATAGCTGCAATCCTTTGACAAATATCAAGATCGAAAAGTTGGTTTAGATGTGGGTTATTTAAATTAAGGTTTGTTTCATCGATTCAATCATCGTGAAGATCATGGAATGCCCTTCTTTCTTTATTTGGCATTTTGATCGGAGGCGAACAAAATGACACAGCTAGCATAATCAATGGCTAGACCTTTCAAAACACTTCTGTTTCAGTTTTCTGAAATCTTCCATTTGTTCAAGTTTCGTAAGCTCCTCTAACAAAGGTAGTGTAGAAATATCAGTCTAAAAATGAAATTCTTGAGTGCTCGTGTGAATTTGACCATAAAAGGTGTTTCTTAACTCCCTTAGTCCATCTTTACCGAAACTTCTTATTTAGATTTAATTCGCCATTGTCTGGCTAGCTGAATCCTGAAAGTCAGGGCGTTTAACCAATTGCTCTTAAGGGACAGCTCAATACGTAAACACCTTTATCAAGTTAGTTGAATCTTATCTATAAAGTCGGGGCGTTTAACCAATTGCTTTAGAGAGAAAACTCAAGCTTTATTGTATAATATAATCACCTTTATCAAGCTAGCTGAATATTATTCATAAAGCCGGAACGTTTAATTAATTGCTCTAGAGGGACAACTCAAGCTTTATTGTATATATATAATATTATAATCTGGGTATACGGATCCAATTTCTTAAGTTTGTCAAGGAGAACCTGTTATAGTCTAAGTGTTTTTGAAAGTCAATGGATCTCATCTTTAGAGTTAAGAACATTTTAGTCCATAATCATTTTGGTTCTTATTCTTATTTTTTTAGAGTATTTTAGCCTTCAACATTTTATTTTAAAGTAAAATATTTAATTTTTTGAAACGTTAACCGTTTGTTAACTATAGATTTTATCCATAAAAAGACATTTTTGCCATAAAATAAATATTAAGAATCAAAATATTTTTAAAAGATAAGAATTATAGTGACTATTTAATGGATCGTTAGAAGTATTTATACCTTTTTATATTTAAAAAACAAAACTGTTGGGAGGCAGTTTTAAGTAATTAAAAGATAATGACATTTGGCCATTGATGGAAGAAAACACGACAGCCAGAAGGGGATGTTTCGGCCAATAATTATAAACGTGGCTTTGGGCCATGAGACAATGAAATTAAGAAACATAAATAATAAATTAAATAACGATAGAGATTAAGTTGAGGAAATAAGTTTAGTTTTTTTTCTTCGAAAATTGATTTTAATGGACCATTTTCGTCATTTAATTTTACTTTCCACCGCTGAATTGAAATAAATTTTGTATCAAACCATCTCATAAATTCAGCAAATTAATTTTACATTTATTGTTATTATATTTATAAGTTATTATTCGTGTTAATTAACTATTTAAAATTTCTTCGATTAGCTAGAAAATAAATAAGAATAATATATCAAGAATTAGTTTTATTTCAATAATAATATATATTTTTATATATTTAAGTAAGAAGACTTTAAAATATAACTGATTCGGTTAAATTTATAATAATATAGCACATAAACTAAAATTGATATTTCTAAATGAACACTGCACTGGAGAGAATGATCTGAATATTTAGAATATTTTTTTCGAAACTATTTATTCTAAATATTGAATACAATAAATAATAATATTTATTAAAAAATAATATCAATAGTTTGTAAAATATTAGATTTGTTTAATGTTATTTATATCAATATTATTTATACAATAAATAGTATAATTTATTATATATTATTAAAATAAGATATAATATCTTATATTATTATAACACTAAAAAATATTATATTATTAAATTATTAATACATATGTTTTCATAATTAATATTTTTATTAAAATGATACTAAAATAGTGTACTAATATTAAGTACATAAAAGAATATTATTTTGAGTATTTACGTTTTGAAGTGAAAAATTTAGAAAATGATTTATGGAAAATCAAACTTTAAGTCATTTTCTAAAAAAATATAAAAGAAATTATGTTGACCAGGAAAATTAATTACATTGACCATTTGTCTTTCACCAACCTATTACTGAAAAATAAGGAAAATATTTTCTAAAAATCCTTTTTATAAATTTAAAGGGACAAAACATCCTAAAATATATTTTAAGAGATAACTCGATAAAAGAAATATAATTTAGGGGTCAATAATTTTTTTAGAATAAGATGTTAATTCATGAAATAAATTGAAAATATATTATTTTAAGTATTAACTTTTTTAATTTGATAAAAATATCATAAAATATAATGTTAAAAATGTAAGCGATTCCGTTAATAGTATGGCACATTAATAAAAAAAAAGAAGGGCATGGAAATTTCGTGGGAAGATAAGAATAAGACGAGGAAGTGATGGTATAGAGTCCCCACAGCTCTTCTTCTTCTTCCCATCACATCTCGAATCCGGATATTACTAGCTAAAACCTCCATCGATTTCGTCTATCAAAACATTTGTACGCATTATGCCTACTAGTTTCCTCTTCCCTCCCCATCTCCGTATCCGATATTCCCAGTTCTCCACCTCACCAAACGATTACTATTGAAAATTTCCTCCGTTATCTGAATTTGTTTTTCAAGTACCCCTTTCCAACTCTTTAAATACCACTAAACACTCCCAACTTCCCTTAATCCTAATCGATCTCCTCTATTCTTTTTCCTGCTTGTTTTTTGGGCTTCAACAATGGCGAAAGCTAATGTTGATCAGAAGCTGAAGAGGCTAAGAGCATGGGTTCAAAACTATGAGTGGGGAAGAAGTGGGGCGGAGGCGGAGGTGGCGAGGCTCATGGCTTTGAATTCGGGGGCTGAGATTGACCCAAACAAGCCCTATGCGGAGCTTTGGGTGGGAACCCATGAATCGGGGCCTAGTGTTTTGGTTGACGATGATGAACAGAATGTGGGTTTAACATTGAAAGAGTGGACAGAGAAGAATCCAAATGTGCTTGGTGCTAAAGTTTTGGAAAAATGGGGCTCTCATCTTCCTTTCTTGTTCAAGGTTTGTTCATTCTCTGCTTCTTTTAGTACAGACACTTCTGTATAATTACATTGAATTTCGATTATTTTTTTTTTCATTCACAATATTTAAATATTAAACCAAAGAGGTATTGATTTAAATTTACTGAAATTCAATTTTTAGTGTAGTGTTTTGAGGATTTTTTTAAAAATGTTTATAATATTATATTTTTGGGCGGTTTTAATCTTCGGAAAAGATTTGTTCTTCTTTACCGGAAAATACTCCGTCGAAATTAATTTCAACAGCCTTACGAAATTTTCGTCCAATATAATAATTTCTAATATTTCCCCTGCAATTTTATTTTTTTTGAAGGAATTTTTTTTATAAAAGATAAGTATATAATTTAAATATTCATATTTGATTTATTGATGTAATTTAGTATTTCCAATTTTTATTGTTCAGATAGATATTTAAACCTATATTCGATGTGCACTTTATTTTAAAGTATTAATTTAAACTAAAAGTTAAAATTAAAACAAATTCAATAACCAATTTTAAATAATTAGTAAAATAATATATTTTTTAAAAATACATTTGATTATTAGATATAGAAATTTATTTTCAAATATGAAAATAGTGAGATGGGTTTAAACTTTTAGTATATAGTTTTTTAAATAATAATGAATAAATAATTATTACATAATTGAAGTAAAGTATAATTAATAAAAATGTTATAATAATAATAATAATAAGAGTTAATTACATCATATGTCCCCAAATTATAACTCTCATTTTAAACTGGTTATTAAACTTTTAAATATTCTAATTTTATCCTTAAATAATGACTCTCATTCAAAATTAGTCTTTAAGCTTTTGAACTTTCTAATTTTATCCCTAAACTATGACCCTCTTTCTAAATTGCTTTCCAAACTTTTGAATATTCTAATTTCATCCTCAAATCCATCCAAATATGTAATTAGTTTCAATCATAGTTTAACCCAAATTTTGTTTTTCTTCAAACATATAGTAATATAACTTGGTTAACGATTTTATTAACAAGGGATGTAATTAGTATATATGTATAGTTTGTGATGAAATTGAAATGTTCTAAAAGTTTGAAAACCAATTTAGAATGAAAGTCATAGTTTAGAGATGAAATTAAAATGTTCAAAAGTTTGATGATCAATTTAAAACGATATTCACAGTTTAGAGATGAAATTAGAATATTTAAAAATTTAGGGACCAATTAAAAATGATGGTCATACTTTGAGGAAATGTGATGTAATTAACTATAATAATAAATAAAATAAGATTAAACAAATCAAAGTTTTAAAATCAATAAAGAGGAAACAATTGAAAAATTGCTTTTACAAGAGTTTGCATGTGTTAAAACAAAAGGGTTAGATGTCGTTAAAATAAATGAATTGCTTTTGGACGAATTTTATTTTATGTAAATTTAGTTATAGTGTTCAGAACCTTATTCTAATTAATATTTTAAAAAACAGTGAAAGGATTTTTTTCATTGTAAATCTTTTTCGTATTTGATTCAAATTAATTAATTATTTTAAATTATATTTTAAAAACAGTGAAAAAGCTTTTAAGCTGAGTCGAAGCTTATTCTATTCGATTTTGAACATATAATTTCAAAAATCGAAATATTGAATCCATGAACGAATCTTATTATTATTATGGTGATGATGAAGAAAGAAGAAATGTGGTGTAAAATAGGTACTGTCAGTGGGGAAAGCACTGTCCATACAGGCGCATCCAGATAAAGAAATGGCCAAAGAGTTGCATAAGATGAACCCTAATCTCTATAAAGATGATAATCACAAACCCGAGATGGCTCTGGCTATTACTCCCTTCACCTCCCTTTGTGGTTTCATTTCCCTCCACGTAAGTATTCCAATCCTTCCTATTCAACTTAATTGTACACGCACTCTCATATTTGAACTAAATACCTATCCATTTGGTTCTGTTCAGGAGCTTAAGCAAGTGCTTGAAGATGTTCCCGAGATAGTACAAGTGATCGGCATTCCATCAGCAAAGCAAGTCATGGATATTCAGGAGCATGGTGGCGCTGCCACCGAAGAAATTAAATCTGCTCTGCGCTCGGTCTTCACGCAGCTTATGTCTGCGAGCAAGGAGATGACGACCAATGCTATATCGAAACTTAAAACTCGGCTTCTCATAGAACGTCAGGTCAGTAGTAATTTGATCATCATCGAGTTAAATCCGTTTGAAGCTCGAACTCGAATATCGAACTGCATCAGTTAATTGGCTCCAATTCTTAACCATTTGCGGGGGGTTTTGTTTTTTGGATGCATCAGTTGAGGAGTCTGAGGGAGAAAGAAGAGTTGGTGTTGGAGTTGGAAAAGCAATACCCCGGAGACATCGGAGTGTTATCGGCGTTTCTGTTGAATTACGTGAAACTGAAGGCGGGGGAAGCTTTGTATGTGGCGGCGAATGAGCCTCACGCGTATTTACGTGGGGACTGCATCGAGTGCATGGCAACCTCAGACAATGTTGTCCGGGCTGGTCTCACTCCCAAGCATCGTGATGTCCAAATCCTTTGTTCCATGCTCACCTATAACCAGGTACAATTCCCATCTAATCAAGGATCCCATTTCTATGGATTTAAATTGTGGTCGCAACCACATTTTCAGTTGCACTATATTTATCGACATCGCAGACATAACATATATATTATTGTGGGTATCACAATCGTAGAATAATAATTTCATATGACACCATTACCACTATATAACGATTGTTATTCTGACAATGAATCTCTATTTAAATCCTTGGTTAAGGTATCCATATCTTAGGAATTAATATATTTATATTAAATAAAATATTTCTACCCAACATTCTCATATAAATTTAAATTATATAATTATTTTCAATGCTCTTATAATATTATAAGTTGATATTCATTTTATTAGCTTTTAAACCATACTGTTCCAACTCTTCTTATTATAAAATTATTCATATTTTTATAACATGTTAGCATTCATTTTTCTTTTAAAAAAGTTGAATATACCGTATATAATTTCTGTTTTAGGGGTACCCTGAAATCCTTGCGGGACTTCCATTGAGTCCTTACATAACAAGGTACCTCCCACCGTTTGACGAGTTCGAGGTCGATCGTTGCGTTCTTCCGAAAGGGTCATCGGCGGTTTTTCCGGCTGTCCCGGGCCCTTCCGTCTTCCTCGCCTTCGCAGGGGAAGGAACATTCAAAACCGGATCTTGTGGAGGCATTGTTACCGAAGGAGATGTGATGTTTGGACCAGCCAATACTGAGATCACCATTACTGCAACTGCAAGAGAGCTGCAAATTTATAGGGCGGGGATCAACAGCAGGTTCTTTCATAGCTTATGAATTTGAGAACAGTGCCGCCGGCAGCCATTATCATTTTTCAGCCTTAGTGAGCAAATAAATTATTTGTTTTATTTATTTTGCATGTATTTATGCAGCTTTTGCTGTCATTCAATACTTGTAAGGTAATTTTGGGACTTACAGATATAATATAAGTAAACAATTGGATTTATTGCCAATTTGGAGCTGGAATTTATATTAGGCTTTTTTTTTGGCACAAAAGACGTCTTCTAGAGAGAGAACATGTTGCAGAAATGTTCCAAGCGAGTCCAGTGATGCAATTTATAATATAAGAAGTACCTTTCTGTTTTTCAGGGTCCTGCCCTCTTATTGTACCCCAAAAAATTCAATCTAAAAACCAATATACCACTAACATAACTGGAAATAAAATAAAGTATATATATATGTATATATATATTTGGTATAATTAATTTATTGATTAAGTAATTTGGAGTGAGTATAGTAGAGATCTTCAATTCAAGTTATTTTATTCATGATATAAAAATCAAACTTTTAATCTTACTTAAAAAATTTAATATCTTATCCTATTAAACAAATTGATAACTAGTTAAAATAAATAATATATTAATGATCTTTACCTAATGTATATAGGCGAATGTTAAAATCAGTAATCATATATTTTTTCAAGAAGGTAATCTTATTAAAAGCTTCAAAACTTGAATTTTCAACCGTTAAAATTTTATATTTTCGTTTTAAAAGTTCCAAAATTTCCTCCCAAATTTTGAAACTTCCTATACACATAACCTTTTAATGTGTACTTTTTTTAAAGACCTTCTAATGTGTAAATTTAATACTAAAAATGACTTCAAGTTTCCTCCAACAACCTTAAACGACTAAAAAAACAAAAACAACATATAAAGAGGTCTTACAACAACCAAGAAACAACAAGAAAGTCATTCCAAATATTCAAAAGAAAAAAAAATCAATTTGTACTCTATTTTTTTTCTTTCGTTCATGTTGGACACTACCTTGTTCTTTATTGTAAATTTATGCTAGTGTTAAGTGAGTGAGCTTACATAGTGAAAACATATTATTTTATGAGGGTTTATTCTTAGTTTGTTCATTTGTATTTTCTCTTCGAGAAAAAATGTATTATTAATATTTTGGAGTATAAATCTCAATTGATTGTAAGGTTACACCATATCCTCAAAGGTTGATTAGATTAGTTAATTTGGGAAAATTCTTGGTGTGGATAGCTAAGGTTAGCTTGGTGACATTCTTGAGTCATTTCCATTACAGGGGTATTTTGGTCATTTTACAGATCCACGGTATTTCAATCTTTTTCCTCCATTCGGTCTTATTATTTAATTCCAATTTATATCTTTTACTTTAGTCCTTTCGAACAATTCTGACAGCAAAATACCCCCATTAAATTATTCTTCAAGTATTTACTCATTATTCGGATATTTTCGAGTCAAGTGTCTTCTCAAATTTTACAAACGGAATATCATGAATTTTCCTGCTAAGTCATGATCTTAACAATCAAATCTGTACTTAATCGACTTAAGTACGAATCCTTTAAGTATTTTCTCATTCAGGGTTAACTCAGACTATTCGATCTCTTAAGGGTATTTCTGTAATTTCTTAACCAGATAATTTCGATATTAGCTTTTAACGAAAATAATATAATTTAGAGATCCTATGATTAATTGCTTTCCCAAACCTTCTCTGATCTTGAAGTGATTCCTTAACAGACTTATAGTATCTTGCATAAACCCTCTTGGTGTTAAAAACCGGTTATCCATAATTTCCAAGTAAAACTAACATTTCCTTATGCACATGAATAGTTTTAGCAGATCAATAATTCTTTTCAGATTTATTAATCTACTTCCAGAGACAATTCTTGTCATTTTCCACCATAAGGGTAATTTCGTAATTTTACCTAATCGAAATATTCTCATAATTTATCATCTAAGTACCTTTAATGAGATAAATTATAATCTACAATCCATGATTGATTCTTTTATCACTTAATTTCAGAACTTGTAATTTAATTCCAACTGTCCTCCAATTTCTTATAATAGTCATCTGAGCCATATTCAGTTATCTATTTTCTACCGTATTCATATCTAGTGTAGATCTTCATTTATTACACATATAAGACCAAACATTTCCATTCATGCATTTACCAATACCAACATGTTCTATAAAGCATAAAGAGGTAGTAAAGTATTACCTCGATTTCTGTGCAATACTGATCGACCATAAAAATTCCATTCGAATGCCTTTGATCTTCAATTCAACTTCCCATAATTCCTCAGATACATATCAACATAAATTATATCAGAAACGGAGCTTAATTACGATAAACGGATCGAATCGGGTGATAAATCAGTGAAAGACGGCTTACCGAGTTTGAATTTGGCGAAACAGACTTCGGATTCGGATTTAGGACGTCAAAAGCATAAAATATGACTTTTCGGAAATTTGGAATTTTCGGTCAAAATCAAAGTCAACGGGTTTGACTGATAATTTCGAGGCTTTCGGGTTCGAATTTCGAAAAACGGACAGCGGAATCGGATTTGGAACGTCGAAAAATGTCAGGATAGATATACTCGGTCGAAGTCAAAGGTCGTTTAATGCCCGATCAAAGCCAGTCAAAGTTTTGGTCAACAGTGGTCAACTCCGGTCAACGGTCAACGGGTCAACGGTCAACGGGTCGGGTCAACGGGTCGGGTCGGGTTAACGGGTCGGGTAAACGGGTCGGGTTGGGTCAACGGGTCGGGTCGGGTTGTGACCGGTCAAACCGGTCAACTATTCACTAAAACCGATCAAACCGGTCATTTAGACTATCCCCACTCGCAGTGGCGGCGCGTGGGGGCGCGTGGGCACTGTTCCGGCAGCGTAAAATTCACAGAAAAATTTCTAAAATACCCTTATGGCCTAAAGTAAGTAAATGTCTTGGATTAATTAAAGAATCCAAATAAGCATAGGTATTGGCCTACCTTTAAAAGTAATGAAACACAATTTAAGTGAGTAGATCAACCCTAAAGCTATGTCAATACCTGAATGACATAGATATTACTGGAATGCGTGTTCGTCTTCTTAAGTTTGACTCGATGATAAATTTTAGAAGTATTCAACTTAGTTCAACTCTGGATCGCATTCAGTACTAAGAATTGGACGTTTGCACGACAAATCAGCCACAAAGACCAAATTGAATGTAACGGAAGTGCAGCATGTGTCTGAAAAATCAGGAACGCTTGAAATACTCTGGAAAATCCCGAAGTATCTGGAATGGACTTGAATGCTAAATAAATTAAGTAACCACAAGGACTGAGGATTGAATAAGTGAGTTGGATGAATCTGGAAATGTTAATGAACATATATGATGTAATGTTCTTATGGATTATGAATTACAAAATCAAGTACGTCAGTATTTCATGATATGGTGAAAACGTGAACATGAAATAAAGACATTAGAAGATTTATTCAACGTTAATTTCGAAAATGAAATATGAACAAGAATTTGTGGTATTAAAGGGTAAATACCCTGGAAGGAAAATGAATTGACCCGTCGACATAGATTGTTAAGGTTCTGAATCTTCGTTCTCAAGTTGTTCGATTATCCGATCAATTGACATGGATGCAAAGGATTCTGAATACCCTTCTGATTACGTACAACTTCTGAAAACTGTCCGAATAAGATAAGATCATGTTAATTCACATTTTGAATAACTGATGATTCCGTTAGTTAATGAACTTTTTACAATAGTGATTCTAATTTTCGACATTCTATCGGTATATTGAAGATCCATATTTCTCTACTTGCTAAGATTATCCAGTACCTTTGAATAATATTTGTAAACTCTGGTGTGTTCCCTACTTATATGAATATTTTATCTGATTTCTGATTTGAATTCTGTTTTGACATCTGATCTGAAATCTGTTCTGATTCCTAACCTGGATTCTGTTCTGATATCTGATCTGAATTATGTTTTGATTTCTGATATCTCCGTTTACCGACGGATAAATGTTTTATCTGGGGGTTTATTGTTGGAGGAAGATTATCTGCAGACTCCTCGGCTTTGTGCTCAGGGTCTAAATGGCATGTGCGGTTGGGTGTATGGTTCTGGGGAACCTACACATTTATGATGTGAACGGATGGGGGTATATATATATATATATATATATGTTTTAAAAGATCTGTATCTTTTTACTGAATTTTTCGAGAACACACTAGAAAACCTATTCTGATCTCCTCAACTCAGTCATCCGAAATATTTCTCTGAACTGAAAGCTCATTGTCCGTTACCACCCGAAATATCAGTAGAATCTGCTCAGCATAACAATATGTAAATGCTCAGAAGCAATAAGGAAATAAATATTTATCTGTATCTGCACGTTCATCAGCATCATCTGGTAGTTCTGTATTACTAAGCTTTCCAAAGCTCACTCTATTACTCACCTTTTCAGGTTGAAAGAATTGTACCAGTGCATCTATCGACTTCAGTAAGGGAGTTCGTCCGGCGTTGTTGCAGAGTAGGGTACATGTGATTAGGGGGCATGTAATTGTATTTTGATTTATATACGAGTTTGGAAATATGTTTTATTTTTAAATAGTGAAAACTAATTTTATAAGTTACATGTTTCAATAAAAGTTTTAAATTTTCCGCTATTTTTACAATGGGTCGCTCCGGTGGCCCTAATGTGACTTCCCGGATCGGATCGGGCTACCCGCATCGGTCTGGGGGGTTACATTTAGTGGTATCAGACCTGATGGAAGTTTCATTTATGCAATTATGTGAAATGAATGAATTTCGAGGATGAAATTTTTTAAGGAGGGGAGAATTGTAACACCCCAATTTAGGGTCTAAATTTAAGAAAATATAAATTGGTGGATTTAATTTGGTATTTTGAAAGAAACAGGGGATTAAATTGTAAAGTTCTAAAGTTGGCAGACCGTTTTCAGAAGTGCAGAAAGTTCAGTGGCTAAACCCATGATTTAACCATTTTTTTAATATGTTGAATTATAAATCTGATTCTCGTGCGCAGGCAGCAGAAATTTTCCAGATTTCCCTTCTCCAGCAACCCAACTTCCAACTCCGATCTACTCGCCGTCCGACCTCCA